AATGGAGAGCTCCAAGATGTCTTTCTCAGCCACTGCTGGAAACCCCTGCCTCCCTGCCAGGCTTGAAGCACACAGAGTCATTGCATCCCAGGGTTGATTTGCTGATTTGTGGCTATTTCTGGGAAGACAAGTCTGTCAGTCTTTGCTGTGAATGGGGAGAAGCTAGAAGGGAAATCAAAACTCCAAGGGACCCTTCTCCCTCTGTTTGGAGGCATTTAGCTCTTCCTGATCCATTGCAGCTCACCCACCTGCACTGTGATCTCTGTCCCAGTCATGGAGGTGAAGCTCTTTCCTTCCTCGGCCTCCTTTTCTTCCAACCTCCGGGAGAGCTGAGTCTCCTTCACCACCCTTGGGGACTTCTGCCTTAGGTACCTGAGTTCTCTAGTGGCCCTGGACTCTTAGATTGGCAGAGACTCTCCATAGTTGTATTTGTTGTTTTATCTTTTTTTTTTTGAGTTGGAGTCTCACTCTGTCGACCAGACTGGAGTGTAGTGGCACGCTCCTCGACCTGTTGGACTCAGCAGTCCTTCCGCCTCAGTCTTCCAAGTAGCTGGAACTACAGGCATGCGCTACCACACCCGGCTAGTTTTTTGATTTATTGTAGAGATGAGGTCTCACCAAGTTGCCCAGGCGGGTCTCAAACCCAGGGGCTCAGGCAATTCACTCACCTCAGCCTCCCAAGGCGTGGGATTACAGGCTGAGTCACCGAGCCTGGTTTGTTGTTTTATCTTAAAACTCAGCTCCCTTGTTTTGCAGATGGCAGACCAGGACCCAGTGGCTTGACTCTTCTAGGTCTATACAGCTAGACCTCTCAGTCGATGGGTCTTTCCAGGACCTAAGATGGCCTCCCTTCTGTGGCTTGTGGGAAGACCCCAGGTTGAAGCTGGGGCTTCCTCAGGCCTGAAGTCATAGGAGTATGGGGCATCTCTTCTCCTCCTTTGTCCTGTGCTCTGAGAAGTTGTCTGACTTCCCCTACACGAGTACAGGGGACTGTCTGGTGTGCCTACCCTTGCTCTGCTGGTAGGCATGGGACCCCAGACAATATCTGCCCACCAGCTGTCGGCCATGACTCCAAGCCAGGATGAGGGTGATGCCAAGGTCTTCTGCCCCCACCTCCACTGCCTTGGTTCCCCCCGCTTCTTCAAATGGACAGTTTGGCCCTGGAAGATCACACACACACACACACACACACACACACACACACACACACACACACACACACACACACGGCACTATGGCTGGATTCCATTTAGTCCTCATGCCCTTGGATTGAAGAGAAAGTGTGGTGGCTCTGAGGCCTGGATGTGAAGGTTCTGAGCCCCACTGACTGCTGGCCTTGGTTTACTCTCACTGTTCTGCTGCTTCATTGTCTCTTTTCACCGCACTCACAAGGTTGGAGGCAGAGGCAGGTTGGAGGCATGAAGGGAAACACAGCAACAGGAGCCAGCAGAGTTAAGTTCAAGGCCCTGGGTAATCACAACCTCCAGCAACTACTAGCTGTGTCATCTCCTCAGTCAGTCTCTTTTTGTAAAATGAGGGGGCTGGATACCTCAGATACTTTGCAGACTCCTTCCAGAACCCACTCCTGACACAGGAGTTCCTCAACAGTCCGTTTGCCATCGCTGCTGTAAGGGAACTAACTGCTTGGACAGTGGGCCCCCCTAGCTACTCCACCCATCTCCATCAGATCTTGACCTTGACCGGGACACACCCTGCCAGGGAGGAGCACTCAGCTTGGCTCACCCTGTTCCCAAGTCACCCCTCCTCTCTGGAGGGCTCAGGGATGATGACGGGATCCAGGCTCCCCTCCCCCCATGCCAGGTGGCCCCATTCACTTACTTCTCATGACTGAGCCTGGGTGCCCTGTCCTTCTCAGCAGGGGGTGGTCCAGGAATGGGGCGCAGCTGGCGGCAGAGGTGGGGCGAGGCCCTCTCAGCAGTGCCTCAGCCTGAAGCTCTGCACCTAGCTCTCCCCCAGTGCCTCTGGACAGGGGGGTTTAAGCTCCGCACCACACAGGTGGCCAAGTGACAACCCCCCCACCCCACCCCCCCAGGGGTGCAGTGGGTAGGATGACAGGCGCCTCACGTGGCCAATCTGGGCCTGGGGCAGGGTGTGAGGGGAGGGGCAGCCAATCGTAGGGGGCGTTGGAAAATTCCAAAACCACATGCGACAGCCACACGCGGTAAAAGCTGTTTCCACCCGCCAGGGCAGTTCTGGCTGGGGAGCCGGAATGGAGCTCAGACGAGCCTGGGGCCGGGTTTCTCCTCCTCCTCCTCGTCTGAGGATCCTCTGACCCTGACTTTGCCAGGTGACTCCAGGGACAAGGATATTTTCAGAGGTAAGCCACAGGATGTCTGCCCAGGGTGGCGGCATGTGCTGCCTGAGACCCTGTGGACTGCTGATAGCCATGCCCAGTGCGGTGCGGTCTGGAAGACTGTACCAACACCCACTGTGCCCATGCTCCTCCCTGCAGACACAACATATGTCCTGGGCCAGGAAAGAAATGAAAATAGTAGCAGCAGCAGTGATCATCAGGTGAATACCCACAATTTGCAGGAGGGATTAGTCCATCAGACATTTCCTTGGGAGCAAAATTGCTAAAATGGAAATGCAGATGATCCTCATCATAGTCATAATCATAATCGTAGTGCTTACTATGTGACAGAAATGGCTCTAAAGGTTTCAGCTCACAAAATACTTTATGAGATAGCTAACATATTCTTCACTTCAAAGATAAGGAAAGTGAGCCACAGAAAGGTTAAGTCACTTGCCCAAGGTCACACAGCAGGTAAGTGGTGGAGTCAGGATTCAAGCCCAGGCAGATTGGCCCTGGATCCCACTTGAGGGACGGGAGGGCTGCTGTAGTTCAAGTCTGCTTTTGAGGGTGTCTCAGACTGGAGGTCTCCTGGTATGTGAGTCTCTCTGTAGAGACTCTTGGCCTGGGAGTCTTTAGGGACCAAAAATTTCAGAGGGCTTCTCAGTCTCAAATTTGCTCTCAGCCTTGGCAGTCCATCTTCTAGGCCTCTCAGTATTCAGATACCCTCTTGGTCTGAAGACTCCCTTATCTTGGACCCTCTTCTTGGAGTTGTCTCAATTCAGGGGCCAGTTTTCAGAGTCTCTTGGTCTGCGGGAGGCCTCAATACCTCCTGGCTTCTCTGAGCCAAGCTTCCTAAGAGGTCTCTGATCTCCCTAGGACTCTAGAACCTCCACAGCCAGGTACAGGCCTTTTCCTACTGGCCTTCCTGGGGTTTCAGGAGCTGGGCAGTGCAGTGAGGGAGGCATTGTCAGCCTGGAACCTTTTGCCAACACTCGCGGGGTGGGGTAGGGGATGGACGCCGAGGGCCAGGGGCTTGGAAATTGGATAAGGAGGTATGGTCCTGGCTGAGGTTTCCGTGGTAAGGGGCTTAGGGTAGGAATGGAATGGGGCTTGACCTATCCTAGTTCCTGCTGCTCCAAAAGCCCCCCTACTCCCCCCCCCACATTTGG